TTGGGCGATTGCCATATTCGCACTATAGTAAATTTATATAGTAATCTGAGTCACATTTTACTATGATCATTCTTCAGGTGACTGGTGAATCATCAATTAACATTCCTTTCGAAGCTTAAGCGCAGTGGGGGAGGGGGCCAAATTAAACAAACATTATATAACACCTTAAAAAAACCACCATTATTATTGGTTGATTTGCAGCTACATAATTTATTGAAATCTTAATGATGTAGTGAACGTTCTAATTGGCTTGTTTAATTTCAGGGGGAGCTATTGGAGGCAATGGGGGAGAATGTTAAACGAAATTATAACTTCAAACCGCCTTATGTTATTCTGCATTTCTATTTTATGATCATAAGTTACACACATGCAATAAGTAATATGTAATAATAATGCCAATAATTTGATAAAAAAATATGTAATGGCAAAATAATCAAGTTAGATATTGTTATATCAAGTTTGATATTGTATCATCGAAATGGAGTAGATACTAAAAGGAATAAGCACCAATACAAATTAGTGTATTCAGGGTACTGTAGTAACAGGAGGAAACGTCCAAATATAGATATAATTTTTATTCTCTGTTGCACAGATCACTTATTGTATCAACTAGTCAAATATCACTACGGGATTAGTCAACTAATCAAATTGCAAAATTTACAAAAAGATGAAACTGTGGGATTCAAAAGGATTCAAAAAATATGTTGTAAAGCAAAGTGAGAGCTTCATGTTTGTTTAAAAATTTTCAATATTTATATAAAAGATAAGTCTAGCGAGCCTTCCAAAAAAGTATTGTAAAATAATATAAAAAAATTTTTTATCAATTATGTAACAATTGAGACGTTTTAACGTTTTCCCCTGTTTACTGTGGTGCATAATTTTGCTTTCACTAAAAATAATTTTTTATATAAAAAAAATTTTAGTATAAGCAAAATTATACACAACAGTACCGTGGACACTCTAATACAAATCAAGTTGACCATCATTGTTACCAAAATGGAATTGTGTTAAAGACATTCAAAAACAGATTTTGTTTTCTTCTCATGATTCTACTATTGAGAAAGTATTTACCTAGAAATTTATTTGATGTAATTAGAAAATTTTAATTAGCCAAAATATGAAATTTTTTTTCATCCATATGTACATATATACATACAAATAAAAATCTTTTATTTATATTAGCAATATTACCTGTTATTGTGTTTTTTTATATTGCTGTTGCCATCTATTCACTCTCACCACTATGAAGAAAAATGAGGGCCCCTGTTCTATACAAAATTGTAGTAGAAACTCTACTATATTTCGAAAAATTACTTTAATTGTATACAAAAAAGCACAAACAAAAAGAACATTGAAGCAATATGATTATTTAAAAATTGGACAAAAAATATATTATAGTCATTATTTAGACATTATAGAGCCTGATCATCATGTAAAAAAAAAGCATCCAGTTGAACAAGTGAAAGATTATGATACTCAGATACTTGAAGCAAATATTGATGATGATTGTAACACACAGATATCTTTATTAAATAATGGTCTTACATTTGCCGATCAAATTTAAATCCTTACAAAAGTTCTTTATAAATATCAATATAAAAAGCCTGGTTTTATTGAACTTAGTCCTGTTCGTTTTCAACTAATGATAGAAAATGCTAATTCTCACTTGTGTGGGCTTTTTGATCAAATGGTTAGAGCATTAATTCCTAATAAAAGATCTATATATAAAAAATTAGAAGCAAGAAAAACCGTAGTTAGTTTTTGCTATATAATAGCTAATGCAAGAAACATGTTTGTTAACAGTTTTGAACTAGAGGTTGGCTTGTATCTTTCAGCATCTGGAACTTCATCTGCAGCTATTAATACATTGTACAATTTGGGTGTTTCTGTATATAGTAAAACAATTAATAATTACAAGAAAAAACTTGTTCAAGATCATTTCCAAAATATTAAAAATTTTTTTACAAATAATAGTGTAATTTTTTTTATTTTAAATTTTTTTTTTATAATTTAAATATTTTTTAATTTAGGGTATTTTATATATTTACAATTTGGATGACTATCATAACATTTATGAAAAAAGATGTTCTAATGCAACAACACTATCAATACCCTTACATTTTGCAACATGTATTTGCAAATCAGTAAAGTTATGTACATCGATTTCTCTTATTTTTATTAATAATAAAAATATTCACAATCCACTAAATATTGATGCAAGCAATATTTGTTTTAGATTATTATATCAGTATAATAGAGTCTTTAATATTTCATATAAGATATGAAAGCTACAATGAACCACATTTGAAGAACTAAAAGTTAATTGTAATAAAATTAAGTTATTAACAGTTTATGTTTACGACAATGCAATAAATGAACAAAAAGAGGAATAATCTACTAAAGATATGTGACTAGTTGGATTTCAAGAACAAAGTTTATTTACAATGAATGATTACATTAATGCACTTTAAATAATAATTAAAAATCAACAAGGATATTGGGCATTTACATAATTCTGTAGCACCTATTGTAGCAGACTGGCCTGGCTAACTTTTTATTCGCAAAGCAATCACAAATTTAAATAATTCATCTTTTAATATCCCTTATGAGATTAGTTTATTTATTCTACTACTAGGACTATTGCACGTTTCTTTAAATAGCCAAGAACATATTATACTTATATATTATTCTTTTTTAAAAAAATTATTTTATTTTGTTTTTGAAAAAAAAATAAATTAGCTAAGCAACCCAAACCATGCCGAATTAACTTACTATTAGAATTAGCATATAGTGGTTGGTGTAAAATTAAAAAAAAGATTATAGCAAAATTTGGATTGAATTGTAAGGATCTTGAATACTGTATAATTTTCGATCTCTTAGATAATTTAGTTCAACTGTATTAGAAGTATATACTATTCTTTTTCGATCTGGCTTATTTAATAAATATATAGATGTGATATTCTGTATTTGGACATTTATGTTATATTGGTGACTACATAATTCTAATAAAGTACCACTTGCATTTCTATCTGATATCTTTTATTGGCAAGACACCAACCATCCATTTTTGAAGCAATTAAACTTTTTTTAGTAAATTTCAATGAGTACTATGTTGAGAATTTTCATAATAAAATTCATACACAAACTTCTTCAAATTTAACAGCAGAAAATATTATAATATATGCTTATGTAATTGGTGTGCACTTTAATTTATAGTACTTATTTATTTAAAACACTAATTAAACTTACAATATACTATAGATATGCAGAATAATGAAAAATTCTGGGACACCTTTATTAAAACCAAACGATATCCTTATACACCATCTGAATTAAGCTTTTTAACAAAAAAAACTAGGCTTTTTCTTCTTAATCATATACAAAAAAATTTTAAAAATTGTGAAAAAAGCAAAATCAAAAAAAAATCCAGAATACTATTTGGCTATTCTGGATGAAACTGTAGATACAAAATGCCTACCTGCAGGTAAAGTTGTAAAAATAAGCATAACTTTAAATATTTTGATTAATTAGATTTCATAATCATAACTTTGAATGCATGATAAAGATCTCTTGTAGTATAGATAACACTATTAATAAAAAGATATTATTGATTAATTAATTTAGAAATGATATCATCTATATTGCAAGATATCAAACTAGTGAATTGACTCAATTATATTATGCTTTTGATCGATGAGGTTAATAATTGAGCACCAATTAATAGGCTCGAGCAATGATAGATCAATCAATAATTGATGATGCCTAATCAATCAAATAAGTATTATATTGATTGATTAAAAAATATTTAATAAGATTTGACCCAGATATTATTTAATTTCTAACCTAAATGTCTAACATTAATGTTAATATTTTATATGGCCAAAAATTTTTGATAAAAACATTGTGCAAATAAATAGTTTTTTTTATATAATATATTTATTTTTATTACTCTTTGTGTAGAATTATAACAATTTTTTTCTTATATAGCAAAGCAAGTTTAAGAATTATATAGAGCAATATTTGGCATTATCATGTTTAAATGATCAAATTGATTATTAATATCGGAAGTATAACCTTATTATTTTAAATATAATATAATCAATCATCAATCAAGAGCTCATAAATTATATACTTAATTGATTATACTTGATCAAGCATGTATCTTTGATTTTTGATCGATTAAAAAATTTCTTTTCAGGTCAATTATCGATCAATAATTTTTTTGCCAAGTCAATTCACTACATCAAACAAAACTAATTTCATAAAATATAATATAAAAAATTATTAAGATTTTTTCTTATAATGCCGCCAGGAAAGTAAACCTTATTTTATTAAATTATAAAAAAATTTTTTAACATCCAAATTAAATTTCGCCAACCCACTTACAGGCTATAGTTCTAATTTCTCCCAGAACCTAATTTGTGTGATCATTGTTATAGATGTTTAGATGATAGTAAAGTCCTAGTTTGTGGGCACGGCTATTATTATAGCTATTATTCTATGATAGAATATTGCTGCTGCCACTATAGAGAATATTACAAAAAGAAAATTTATTATAATGTTGAAAGTTTTATAAAATGATTGAAAAAAGGCCCTAACACTCTCATCAAAGAAAAAACTCAAAAAAAAAATGCAGAAGAACCTGATCAGGAAGATGATCCAGCGAATGAAGTGAGAGAGGAGAACTCTGACACTATTTTAGTAGCATTTAATGCTGTTAACAATTGGTAAATGTAAAAAAAAAATTAAAAGTTAGTACTATGAAAACTTGGCAGAACATTTGATCTCATTCAATCCCATTTGATCTCAAGTTTTCAAACATAATAATAAATACTTTAAAGCTTATAGTTTGAACAATAATAATTAAAACCTAAAATATTACGATTATTGTCATATGAGCAAAGTTGCTCAAGAATTGCATTTTTGGCAAATTTGGCACAATTTGATTGGCTATTTTTGTAGATCGAAGATTGTCATGTGACCAATTAAAATAAATTTTCATCTTGCTGGAATGGAGTACATACATGGTTACCATATAGTTGCGAAATAACACACAGGGTGTAATTTCGAATTTTGGCCTAAATTAAGCCTAATTTGGGCCAAAATTCGAAATAACTCCCCTGTGCGTTATTTCGCAACTATACAGTATATGGTAAATGAAAGGATGTACCTTATTTGTCTATAATAACACACAGGGCATTTTTTGAGGCATGGCCTAAGTTAAGCTTAATTTTGGCTGAAATTCAAAACTACACCCCTGTGTGTTATTATGGGCAAATACGGTATCTGAATTTATGAATCTGATTAAATTGCGTTTTCATGTGATTTGTTATAAAACTTCTATATTTGCCAGTTCTTTTTAACAAAATGTGCATATATACATACATATCAAGTATATATCAAATATCTTGTACATATAAAGATATGAAATATAAATGTTGAAAAAAATTTAAATTAAATTTATATTGGTGTTATGTATTTAAAGCAGGGGTACCGAAAAATTAATTGCAATTAAATTTTTTTACAATTACCATTTATCATAATTGTTACACGAAAATAAT